CAGGCTAAGGTCCAGCAATTGCACTTTTCAGTATATGCCCAGCAGAAATGCTTACATATATTCACCCAGAGACAGACCAGAATGTTCATAACAGCACCATTTATAGCAGACAAAAATTGGAACCCACCAAAAGTGTCTACCAACAGTACAATGGGTAAATAAATTGTGAGACACCACAGAATACAGCAATGAGAATAAACAAATTACACCTACACACAGCAACAAGAATAAATCTTGCAAACATAATTTTCAGTGGAAGAAGCCAGAAATAAAAGTATACTGTATGGTGTCATTCAGATGAATTTCAAATCCTGGCGAAACTCTTTGTAGTGATGGAACATTTCTGTATCCTGATTGTGATGGTATTTACATGTATGTGATAAAATTTTATAGAACTATATACCAAACAAATGTGTACATAAACCTGGTGAAAGCGGAATAGATCTGTAGCTAAGTTTCTATCATTGTATACTGATGTCAGTTTCCTGGTTTTGATAATATACTATAGTTCTGTGATACATTATTGGAGGAAGCTGAGTAAAAACATGCAGGAATTCTCTGTACTACTTTTGCAGCTTAGGAGTCTAAGATAAAATCAATGGTGCAAGAAGTCAGGAGAGTAGTTTCCCATGGGGGAGTCAGAGTGACTGGGAGGGGTCATAGAATCTTCTGCAATACTGTAATGGTTTGTTTCTTAATATGGGGGGTAACTACACAGACACATTCATTTTATGTAAATTCATCAATCTGTACACTTGTGTATTTTTTTTCTATGTATACTATACTTCAATAAAAAAGTTTTTTAAAAATATTTTAAAAATATAATATATAATATATTATATATAATTATATATAATAATAAATATAATATTACATAAATATTAAATAAATAAAACAAATATATAATTATGTATATAATTATATAATATAATATATTATATATATTTTATAAAAATATATTTTAAAAAACAATGATAGGAGCTTGACCCAGTGTCCAGCACACTATAAGAGCCTAGGAAGTGTTTCTCTGTCTGGTTTTCTCCTGCCTAACCCTCCTGTCAGGTTCTAACTTGTGTTGTTCCTACTGTGGTCACACCCAGGTGAGCACAGTTCATAAAGAAGTTCCCTTAACCCATACACTCCAAGACTAGGAATTCCAGGCAGATGTTAGGGAATAACAAGACCTTCTGGCAGGAAAAATACATCGCAGTGCAAAGTTTCAGGTGCCTCCATCCAGGACTGAGCACAATAAAAGTTTATTGTAAATACTAGGCACATAACTTTACTAATAACCAATAATTGGTTTATTGGTTAAAACAAAAATACACCTCCTTAAAAAAGAACCCTGAAAATCTAAAACAAATCTTGACAATATAATAATCAAACAATATTCTATTGCTGGGAAGAATTTTATACAAATTACAGAGGGTATACTTTGATTTTGCAATGCCTCTGCTATTTGAATTTTTTTAATAAGCTGTGCTACACTCACAAATGATGCTGCTTCCCATAGTTCCTCAAAAGATTTTAATTTTTTCTAATTTGGAGAAAGAATATTCTTCCAAAGTCAAAAGGCATAAAAATTGTTCAAACTGCAGATTACATTTCAGAAAATCAGGTGCTTAGACTGTAATATTTCACAGTAACCATCCTAGCAAATTCAGGCTTATTTTTTGTCATTTAGCATTTAATGATTTTACACAAAGCAGCATTGATAATACTTCTGAAGGATCACTTGAGAAGTCCTTTGACATTGTTAGTGTGCCTGCTACACTGGATTTTTCACCCAGTTTTAGTGGGTTTGGAGTGCAAACAAAGCTGGACTTTGCCTCTGGAAATATTTGGTCTCGATAGGCAGCTAGTGTATCAATTACAGGATGAAAAATGATGAACTATAATCCTTTCCTCTAAAGAATCTGCAGATCAGAGAACCATCATATGCTCTGCAGCAGATGACACAAAAGTGTTTAAAGTATTATCCTTTCAACCAAGAGAGTTCCACAATGTGGGAAATAGGATTTAAAACAGTTGAGTTTTGCATAGGCTTCAAGACAATGCCATTGGCCACTGTACACTTTAGACAACTGGATTACAATTTATGCATTACAGGTCAAATATGCAAGGAAATATACTTCGTTTATTGTTCTCTAAGCATTTTTTTTTCTTAATTCAAAGTTTCTAAGCAAATGCAGGTAGGAGAAAAACTGTACTCCAACTCTTCTAGTTAAAAAATTCTGTGCGTAAGTTCTCTCTGTGGTAGTTGCTCAGTCCTTCAAGCAGCTCCACACTCACGCCTCTGGCTCTGCTCCCCGAGTGCTACAGGGGCCCCCGGGGGAGAGAGGTCTCTGGTCTGGCTTCTGCTCACCTGGGGAAAGGGGAGCTCAACCCACCAGGCTTCTGGACACAAACCTCATCCATTGCTGAGGTGCCTCTGACTGGACATCTTGCAGTCCGTGCTCAGCACAGGCAAATAACTCAGTGATTGTTTTCTGGGAGATGATTGCTTTCTCCAGCTTCAGCTGCTACCCGGACCTCCAGTTTTGGGCTGCTAAACGCAGCATCTTGTCGTGGGATCCTCATGCCTCCACACAACAGGGGAGGCCTTGTGTCTCCACTCCACGGCCGCCAATCCTTCGTTCTCAGCCACGTTCTCTGTTTGCCAGAGACCTGTAGAGGCTTTGGGATCTCTTCCATAGCACGTGAAGACCACCTCAGGCTACCAGTCCAGTTACGTCTTACAGCCAGACAGTGAGAGTGGGAGAAAGTGCAACAATGGCATGAATGCCTGCAGCATTTCCTGATCTTGGTGATCAGGAAATGATCACCTGATAGATCACCTGATAGATCTCCTGATCTAGATAAGTATTTCCTTTGTGGCATCTTTCATCTTCCTTCTCTGTATCCCTGGGCTAAGGCAGCACCCTGATCTCCTGTTATCTTTTCCTAGCAACTGACGGGCTCTGGGCTTCCCCCTTCTGTCTCACAGGGCTGCTCTTACATCATCCTCTCCTCCCTCCCCACTCCAGCCCTACAACCTTAAGGCTGATGGTGGAAATGCTATAGGGCACAAGCCCAAATCACTTGGTATTACTGTGTGTATGTGTGTGTGTGTGTGTGTGTGTGTGTGTGTGTGTATAATCCCTGACACATGATTCTGCATATTTCCATATACTTTCAGCTAATAAGCAACAAAGTCTCAAAGGACCAACAGATACTGACACAGTGGTGTATCTGTATCAATGTTCACACGAGCTTCCAGATTCTTGCAAAAAGCAGGCAATGACCAGTTCACATAAGACCTTCCAATATACTGACCAGGTATATGTATATTATTTTTGCACATGAAAATGATTGCATAGGATAACCTAACCCTAAGATTTTAGAGTTGGATACGGGAATGGCAATCCACTCCAGTATTCTTGCCTGGAGAATCCCATGGACAGAGAAGCCTGGAAGGCTACAGTCCATGGGGTGGCAGAGTCCGACACGACTGAGTGACTAACGCAACACAAGATTTTAGAGTAATAAATACAGGTGAAACATTCTTTGACAAAGTCTAAATTCCAAAAGTTGGATTTGACCAATACAGCAATTTCCCATACCCTTTAAATAAAACCCACTGGTGTTTTTATTTTTATCAGAACAATGCATTTTGCTTTCTTAGCTGCTTAACAAAGTAAGGACTAGGAGGAGTGTTATTGTTATTGGACAATTGACAGAATGTTGTAATAATGGAATGGTGCAAAGATACACTTTAATACACCTTAGATCTTACTTACTCTGTTGTTTAATTATTGCACATCATGATACCATAGTCATGTGTTTGAAGCCAGATTCTACATCCTGTATTTGAATCCTATGCAAGTATGCATTTCTTCCTTTGCTAGTGCTTTAATGTTCAATTTAAAATGCTTTAGAGTATTTAGTAACCACAGCCAATATTCCTGCCACTCCTGAATCACATTGTTCTCTCAGAGCACTGGTCTTAAGGCAACATCTTAATACCTCCTCCTCCCTGTCTCAAGCCTCTGGTCTACACATGAAGACCCTGCCTGCCACTCACGAAGAACAGGTCCAGGTAGGACCAGCCACTGAGGTTGTCCACATCCAGAAAGATAAGAACTGCATCTATGAGATCACTGACCAACATCCAGGTCTGCCCATTGGCTGATCTTTGGACAGTGTCCTTAACCACTTAGGACTGGGTCTTTATTATTTTACAAGTTTCCTTTTCTCTAAATGCACAATATAAATAGCTAATACTTGTTGAGAATGTATTATGTGCCAAATATTTTATATTCATTATCTCCTTTAATCCTCATAACATGTAGATACTATGTACTGTGTGTGTGTGTGTGTGTGTGTGTGTGTGTGTGTGTGTTAGTCACACAGTCGCGTCTGACTCTTTGGGATCCCATGGACTGTAGGCCGCCAGGTTCCTCTGTCCATGAAACTCTCCAGGCAAGAATACTGGAGTGAGTTGCTATTCCGTTCTCCAAGTATGTATTACTACTACCCCTATCTTTTATCTGTGGAAAGTGAGGCTCAGAAAACTTAAGTAACCCTTCTGAAATCACACAGCCAGCAAGTTATATTTGAACCAATCTAACTGTAATGCTCTCAGCTATTAAATTTAAGGCATACAAAAGTCAAATAGTTGGTCTATAATCATAAAGCTAAGACAAGTCTAATCCGGGATTCAAATCCAGAGCTCAACTATCTCCAGTCCTTACTTCCTCACCCTACAGGACGGGGTGCAGGCATTTTAAAGTAGGTCTACTAGAGTTGCATAAATGCAGAAGATCATAGCAGGAATTATTAGCCTTTAAGTAGAAATTATTTCGAAGGTGTGTGAGAGCAGGGTTCTTCCCACTGACTGGCTGGCGGGACTTACCAACCAGAAAAGGCGATCTTTGGTGAGCACATGGTGGATTCGACCAATGAAAGCTGCATATTGCGAGGAGTGGGTGGTGGATCTGACCAATCAGTAACTTCAAAAAGGGCACTAGTCAGTGAAACTAACAAATCGAGGAGTCGCAGCTAGACCTGCATCTCTGAGCTGGGAACGTTCTCCTTGGAGAGGTAATCTGACTTCCAAATGGCTAAAGGCCACTCGGAGCTCTGACTGGCGCCAGGGTTCCAGGAAACAGGTCGGAGGCCATTCCCGCGCCAGCAGTAACTGCCAGCGCGCCTTTGCTCATAGATTAGCCATGAGGTCAACCGTTTCAGTGACTCACCTCGTGAAAATGAGGCGGCAGTGTCAGGCCTTACTGTTTCTCTGTAAGCATTTAAATTGATTTTTACAGCTGGTTAAATTCTCCCCTTTGTTTTTATACAGAGGCTTAGGATGTGGCTGGATATCAGCTCCAAAGATATTACCAGGTGAAACAGTCCCCCACTCCATGCAAGATGGAAGCCTCTGGGACCAGTGAAACTGGCTCACCGAAACTGTGGCCAGGTAATGATCTACCGGAGACAGCTCCACCAGTGAGAGCTGGGGGAGAGCCACTACCGAGGACTGAGGGACCTCCCTAACTAGAGGTAGAGACAGCCCCATCCTGAAACACCCTGCTCACTGATGACCCCACCCATTGCCCCAAATTGAGATCACATGTTTCTGCCAGGTGATGCCTCCCATTTGGAAAGAAATTTCAAGAGCTCCTGGAATCTTATATATGGAGAATCTCCATGGAAGGAGATCCTGGCTCCTGTGTCCCTCTTGTTTATTTTCTGTTCAAAGTTCTTTCTTCCTTTGCCACCATAGCCCCTAGCCCACCCCCGCACACAAACGAGGTGCTGCTCCCAACTCACACAGCCTTCCAGGCACCACACCAGGTTAGTTTGGGTCACCCTAAAAGCAGAACAGGCGAGGCAAGGATTTGATGGAGGTGGTCTACTCAGAAGGTGACCCCAGGAAGAAGTGTGGAGTGGGAAGAACAAACCAGGGAAATAAGAGAAGCCAAGATGAGGGTGTGTTTCCTTGACGTCTGTAGGCATAGAAGGCTCAAGTCCACTGGAACCTCTGAGAAGGCAGCAGATGCCTCGCAGAAGGGTCCACCTGACAAATGATAGCTGGAGTCTTTGTCTCCCCACCCCCCCACCCTCACTGATTGGGAAGTTGTTCCGGGGAAGTTAACTCCCTTACGCTTCCGGGTAGCATTTGCAGGCTGTGAGCAAGCTCGTGTGGTGTAGGAGATAACCCTGAATCAGAATCAGAAGGACTCTGACTCTGCTTGAGGGAGGACATCGAGAATGAGTCTGAGCTCACATAGTTTCACAAAGGTCTGTCCTCTTCAGCTGTGACTGAAGTCAGAGGCCGGCCAGGCACTGGCGGAGCAGACAACACTGGCTACACACCCTGACTGCAGCCCTCCTGAACAATGTTACAAACTCTGAGGGAAAGCAACAGGGAAATAAAGTCGAAAGGAACAAGAAATGTGAACCCAAACTGACCTATGGAGTACTTCACACTTCTACCCAAAAGGCATTGGAGAAAGACATATGACTTTTGAACTCTAAATATTTGGGTTCAAATCTACTTAGTAAACTAGTGATATTAGGTATGCCACCTGCTTTAAGGCTCAGTTTCCCCAAATATATGATAGGTATAAAAATACTTACCTTATAAAAACAGTGATGTGCAAAGCCCTTGGGATGTAGTAAGCCCTTTCTCAACTTACGGCAGCTCTTGCCAAAGGGCCAGCATGTTTTCCACATCCTCAGCCACCTCGAAGCCCCAGATCATTTCTGAGGGAAGAAGGCTATTTCACCTTCTCTAGACAGGAGCTGCCTGACATCCTGGGGCTTTGAAGGCCAAGACCAGATAGCTCTATGGTCTCTGCTCTCCTCACCCTCAGAACCTCAACAAAACCACTTCTTGTCTTAGATATTTGGTTCAAGTCATTTAGGAACAAGGGAAGCAGGTGTGAGTGAGATATGTAAAATCTGGGTATTTAAAAAATGAAATTATGCAGGAAAGGTCAGTCTTTAGGAAACTAGTTGTGTTTTTTCTCAACTACTGAAGAAAAAGTTCAAACTGTTCTCTATAAAATTTTCTGTTTCATGGTCTAGGTGTCCATACTTTGGGATGAAGTAATAACCTCTGGGTGAACATGATAATAAGCAAACTCAGATTCCAGAGATGAGTGTTCCTATGTGTCAGATCCATCCATCTGTGTTCCTCAATTGTGCTGAAAAGTGTTACGTCTATAAAATACATTAAAAAAACATATTTCTCTTATTTCAATTATTTCCATGTTTTTAATCCCTCCCTACATTTCCAAATTCCAAAGACCTGAAATTGGACTTCTTTAATCTGGGTTAAAAGGATCATGTACTTTGGTTCAAAACTTCCCTCCCCTGATCTCCTCTGCCTGGTGTCTGGGGTTGGATGGGAGCCCCCATATCAGACCCCATCACCCAGACAATGGTCTGCAGAAACACTTCTTCAGGAGGAGCCAGAGAAAGAGCCTGGACTGGAACCAAAGAGATCCGAGCTCTATGTAAGCTCTTCCATGGACAGGTTGTGTGACCTTGGGCAGATGACTCATCTCTGGGCCCCCAGTTCCTGTTCTTTAAGGTAAGGCACTTAGACAAGAGGTGCTCTCAGAATAAGTGGATATGATCCTTGGGGCCCTAGGCAGAGGTCCCTGAATAGCTGGGATTTCCTGAGCTCCGCCATGGCGTCCCTGGTTTGGCTAGGGGCTCCCGCAGGGCAGGATCACATTGCCCCAGATTCCAGGACTGGCTGCAGCACAGACCCAGGATCGGGTGACAGATCCATCCAGCCTGGACTGGCTCAATCTCTCAGCTACAGCCGCAGCCATGGGGGCTGGAAAACCAGAGCTAATGCAAGCCAGCTGGAGGCCAGGACAAGATTGATGAAGGACAGGGAGAGGATTTGGCCAGGGGGTTGGGGGACAAGAGCATAATTAGTCCTGCCTGCTTCCCAGAGGCCCCCAAGCTGGGTATACCTCATTAATTGGGAACCCCCAGTGGGGAATTCCTGCTCATGACCCAGGGAAGGAAGGGCTTGTTAGGAGTTAATTAGGAGTAGAAGTGCCAATCAGGGAAAGTGTTTAAACTATTAAATGACTAAGCACCTGTTTACTTACAAACAACTGATATGTCAATTATCCAACCATCAAAGAAGGCCCCCTAGATAGTGATTACCAACCTTGGGTGATCCTCGAGGTCATCTAGTAACCTTGTTAAGCATCCATCTCCAAAACAGTGATCTGGATTGGCCAGTCAAGGTTGAAAACCATGGCCCTAAGCTAGCCACTAGCCCAGGATCTCTTGGCCCAATCTCGGTGGCTACTTGTAAGCAAGCAATAAGTAACACCCAACAACTACTATAGCTATTGCTCTTTCTGTAATTTAATATTTACTAGCACCAAGAATAATGCTTTGCTTTTAGGATAAATTATTTCTTTTAATTCTCATAATAACCATTTGTGGTAGGTGTTGTTATCACTTGACTACAGAGGATGAAATAATTGAATTCAAAGAGAGGGAAAACTCACTAGAAATAATGGCAAGTGGCAGAGATTGTATTTGATCCCAGATATTTTAACTCCAGAGCTCAAATCTTTACTTTTTTAATGATCCCCAAAGCCCTTCCTGTCCTTTGGCTGAATAAGACAAATACCCTATTAGGCTTTTAAAGATAGTCATAGGACTATTCAAGATATTGTCCATTATATTGATGGGAAAACCAAGTCACCCAAAGGGGACATTAACTAATTCAAAGATTCCAGGTTTATAGCTTTCATGCATGGGCCATTTTCCTTTAGACAAGACTATCACCTGGAATTATGGATTAGAAGAAAGAAAAGAGGCCAGTCCCCAGTGCAAAATGTCAACACACGTGCCCAGGTATTCAAAATGCAGACTGATTTAGTTAAGAGCACTGGGCTCTAATCACAGCCACACCACGGACCCCAAGTGTGACCTGGAGCAAGGCACTGAACTTCTGTGGGTCTCAGTTTCCCCATCTGTCAAATGGGAATGCTGCTGTTTGCCTCCTGCTTTGTAAGAAACAAATGAGTAGACTGTAAGCAAGGGAGAAGAGATTTCTCTGTAAGGAATTGCTCCAACTGATGTGGGGGCATTCTTGACGTTAGGGAGCTTCTCACACAATTATGTGGCATCTTAGGGCTTGATAAGATGGCCTATTAGGCCCCAAAGCCAATCTTCCCCTCCCTGGGTTGCAGGAAGCTAAAGAAAGCACTTCCTAATTTTCTTTAGAAAACTGGCAAATGGTTGACCAGATGGCCCCCTTGGCCTTCCTGTGTGATTTTTCCTAGATTTGATTTTACTGGTTGGGCAGACCTTCTAGCCCCACCCTTCAGGCCAATGGCAGCTTCTTCCAGAGCCAGCCTCACCTAGGGGCCCCATCCAGATGCCCGCTTAGTTCCCTTCCGGCCCTAACGGAGGCATGAGCCTCCCCCGCCTCCTGCTCACTCCTCGCTCCTCGGCCGCCAGCCCAGCAGCTGTTGCCTCAGATCAGTGTGGACCATCTAATCCCCTCTCTAGAGCCCTGGCCCCCTCCTCAGGCAGTAAATTAAGGAGGATGTAAGAACAGAGGGCACCAGCGTCAGCAGAGCGGCATCCAAAACATCCTCCCCCACCCTGTGCCTGAGTCATAGGGCCCTGAACTGGCCCCCTCTCTGCCTGGGGTGAGGGAGGAGGTGGCAAGGAGAGCCAGGTCTGACAGAAGAGGGAAGTTGGAACCCAGAGGATGGAAAGGGTGTGGGGATTATGCAGAAGAACCAGGCTGGACTCCTAGAGGTGTTCTAGCTCAACTGCCTTCCCTGTCACCTGTATGAGGCCCCAAATCCATACACAAGAGTAATAGGGCATGGAGCCTGCATGTTAGCTTTTTTGTCATGCCCTGACTGCTTAACCCCATCTCTTTCACATGCCACACCCCTAACTTTCATGTCTCCATCCCTAAAATGGACAGGGAATAGTCAACTGACAAGAATAGGGAGCACCCCACTCTAGGACCCACCCCAAATCCCTATGTTGAGGGGCGGTGGTGGAAGGAGTTGTGCTAACCTCCTGCCCCTAACTGCATGATCTATAGGGCCGACCTTAGAATTCTGTCATTCTCTGACTTAAAAACACCATCTAAGACTCTCTACACATATGATGTATTGAAATTCACACCAAGAGCTTCCTGGTCTGACACTAATCTACCAAAAACTGAAACTGGAGGAAGAGGGAGAAAGATGGCTAGATAAAACTGGTGTGGCACCTACTGGTCTGACCTACAAAGAAGAGCTACCCAGCTTTTCAGAGATGCACCCTGGGAGGAGGAGCTGGCAAATATTGCACTGGCTTTCGATGTAGAGATCAGAGTTGGGTGATGAACCCCGTGAGCTTGAGATTTTAAGTCAGCAAAGTCAATATCATCTTTTAGACTTCATGGAGACATAGTGGGATGAGGACTCAGCCCTCAGAAACCAGATGGAAACATTTCATGTGCACAAAGAAAATGGATCTGTTCAGAGAGAAGAACAAATAATCCTGTGCGTCAAAAGCATCAATGTTTGTGTTTCAGCTCTGCTTTAAATACCACGTATATGCTGATGGCTATCCAATTTCTATCTTCAGCTGAGATTTCTCAACTAAACTCTGAACTTATATTAGCCTGCTTGATATCACTTGGATATACAATAAAGTTCTCAAACTTAACCCATCCAAAACTGAACTCCTGATCTGCTCCACGAAGCTTGCTCTACATATAACTTTTTCCATCTGAGCTTGTGGCAACTCCGTCCATCGTGTTGCTCAGGCAAAACACTCCCTTTGAATCTTCTCTTTGTCTCTCCTCTCCATTCCCACATCCAGTCTGTCATGAGATCCTATTGGCTCTACTTTCAAAAACTGTATCAAAAAGCTGACTACTTCTCACTCTCTCCACCACCTCCACTCTAGACCAAGCTGTGACAGCCTCTCATCGCAGAAGCCTTGTGCAAGACCTCTTGTTTCTAACCTCGCCCCCTGGCCAACACCCTACCTCCCCATCCGACCTGTTCTAAGCACAACAGCTAGGGGAATCCTTTTGAAGATGCAAGTTAGTTCTTCATAATTTTTCTGCTCAAAACTCTTCAAGTCTCCACATGTCTTTCAAACTAAAATTCAAAGTCCTGGCGATGCTTGCAAAGATCTACATGATCTTGTTTCATCCACACTTGGCCTTCATCTCCAGCTCCTCTTCCTCTTTCTCTGCCCCAGGTATATTGACCACCTTGTTGTTTCTCAAACTTGGTAGACATGCTTCTGCCTTAGAACCATCTTTGTAATTTTTCTCACTGCCTGGAATATTCTCCCACCAGTATCTGCCTTCCTAACTCCTCCTTCCAAAGACTCCTTCAGGTCTTTGCTCAAATTTCACCTTTTCAACAAGCCAAGGTCTGCCCTGATTATCCTTCAACTGCAATCAGTTCCTCTCTTCCAGCAGCCTGATCTCCCATACTACAATCTACTTTTTTCCTTTTTTTAATATATAACACAAATACACATAAAGTATATAATTCACTATTTATTACCTTTATGCTTGTTGCTGTCTCTACCAGCTAAAAGGTAAGTGACACAAGACCTGTATTTTGTTCACTGTCGTATCCCAGGTACCTAGAACAAAACCTAGCCCATTCATGAATGAATCAAGGTGGTGAAGGGGAGAAGGAAATCGCCTAAAGCTCACTGGCCACGTTATAGAAATGGAGTTTGGAATATTGAAGCATATTCCCAGGGCTGACCCAGAGATCTATTTAAGCAGATGAGGTCTCCATCCATCCAGATGTCCTGCTACCAGGGACTCATGGCTAAAAGTCAAACATGTTGCAGACGCTGAGGTGCCTTCAGCACAGCTATATTTATGACTGATTCAACAGAAAAGGGCAAAAACTAGAAGCAGCTTACTCCCAATATTCCCCTGATTTATTCCAAGTATGCTGCCTTGTTATAACAGGATAACTGTCCTAGTTCTTGATTTAGTCCCACCTCTTAACATGAGATGTCTGTCCTCCCACCCAGGGTGGTCCAGACCTACCTCAAGACAGTGCCATTTATTGACTCCTTTGCCACTCAACTCGAATGGCTTCTTTTGTTGTCAACTTTTTCCCATTTCCATTTTTGCCATCTGGGTTTCAGGAAGCACCTTTATTAGATTTCTGTTGCTGTAGAACAAGT